CTGTGTGTAACAAACCGCTCTGGTGCGATGAATGACATTGCCACAGCTTGTGGTGGAGTGCTGGGGTAGTCTGCAGCTGTGGGGCCCTGGGAATAACCCGGGCCCTGCTGCAGCCGCAGGGCTGAGCCGTCCCACAGAAGCACCCGAGTGGGAGAAGCAGTGTCACAGGCTGACACTTGCTGGGATCGCAGCCCCGGGCTCTGCATCAGCTTGCCTGCAAACCTTCATGCTTCATCTCCAGCACTGGCCCTGCTGGCACAGCTTCCCCAAGAGCGGGGATGGTCTCTCAGCTCATCGTGTCCCATTTACCACTCCAGAGCCTTCAAGCGATTGACAGCAAAGCCCCATTCACCCACCAGCTGCAGGCAAGATGGATTTTTTTTGATGGCAAGCAGAATAGCACTTGGGCTGGAGGGGATTGGAGACTGCAGGCAAGGCTTGGCTGATTATCAGTGATTTGGAGAGGGCGATGCTGAAATGGCAGAACTGGTCCTGCAGAAGCTGCCGGGTCCCAGCAGTGAGAGCAGAGATGTAGCCTCCAAAATCTCTAATTGGCAGCTCTGGGAGGCAACACTGGCCTCAGCTCCAGTACAAGACAGGAGGAAGAAGGAGACTCAGGCATGTGGGAACATTGTGCCCAGGGGAGGGGAAAAATAGGAATAAAACATGCAACGTGGGTGAGAAACAGCATTTCAAAAGGATGCGGGGCAGCCCTGCAGCTCCGATGCCATCCGCTCTAGTCTGTCCTTTCCAGATCCATCTGCACTACAGAAACAGCCTGCACCGCACTCAGGCTGGGTCACAACTCACTACTTGTGTTGTAAAGTTGCATTTCATCATCTCACTGCGGAAACTAACCGGCCATGGCTACTACCAGAGCTCTGGGAGGCAAAGGAGCACCGTGCCAGAGCTGCAGCTCTTCACACAGTTACACTGGTGGAACCTGAATTTAATTTTTATTTATTTATTTATTTATTTAGGAACCACGGCAAGAGACAAGAGGATGAGGGAAGGAGGGGAGGAAAGGTTAGAGAGGAACAGTGTTTGGGACAACAAATCCACCTCTTTTGTAGAATGCAAAGCCCAGTCCTGACATCAGGAAACTCAGCAGAAGATGTCCTCATCCTGCTGAGTTTGCTCATTGTCCAGCAGGACAGCACACTTCATCACTTCATGCTGCATGGTTCTCCTCTCCAGCCTCAGCCCTGGGGACTGCTCGTCTGTGTGCCAGGACACCCCAACACCACTACCCACGTGTCAGTTTAGGAAATGGCTGCGAGTGCTGAGCTCCACACATGCTGAGCATGAAATCTTGCCCAAACACCAAGCCATTACTCCACAGCCGTTATCCCTCCTTAAATGTTCGGTGTGCTCACTGGGCGCTGTGCTTCTGGTGAGCGCATGGTGCAGCTTATGGTCTTGGCTTTGTTTTAGAAAAAAAAAAGTAATACACAACCCTCCTGGATTGCTTTTTAGAAATACAGGAGTCAATAGGAGAGTGGCTCCAGCAGAGCACACAGCATTCCTGAGTAAAAAACCCACATGCCTTCCACTGAAGGAATCTGTGATCAGATGACCCCAAGTTACCCTTTGTCCCTCAGCACTGTCCTTTTGTCCAGTTGTGGGACGGCCCCAAAGCTGTGCCTGCTGGCTCTGCTCCAGCACAGTGTGAGAGCATCGTGCCTGCCCTCACCTCATCAGTGAAACTGCTTGCAGAAATCAGACATTATGGTCAGTGGCAAAGGCAAGGAAAACTTGTACCGATTCAGCTTCTCTTTTATTTGATTCACTGGAGCAAAATCCTAGCACGCGCTTGAAGCCGAGCAGCAGAAAACAAAGCCTGCCTTTAGAAGAAAGTGTTTAAACACAAGGAATCAATTGCATTAAGTGCAAATTCATCGGCTGACACCAGCATCTGGGGGCAAAGTGGCTGCTCACTGCAGTGTGCGATGCTTCGGGCTGCAGGAGCAGTGGCTCTGTGTTCGTTAGCGCTCTGGGCCAGTAACAGTGTCCAGATAGAGCTGAAGCCTGATGGATTAATGCTGCCTCCCACCAGCGCAGTCCGTGATCCATCAATTACCTATCTGCTTGGTCCTTTTCTCCATCCTCTTACAATCTAAATAGTGCATTTTATAGTCACTGCTAAGTGATGTGATCAACATCAATTACCTACTAAAAGAGAATCAAGTCCCGATTTAAAATTGTGTCGCATTTTGCCATGTTCTTTATATGTAGCCAACAGAATAATTGCAGTGACATAAAAGCTAATTACACAACTCCACAATTAGGCCTCCCTCCTAGTGCTGTGATTGCCTTTAAGTACATTGATAAAAACTTATTCCCAGCCCCAAATTATTCTCTTACACCCATCTTTTGGAAGAATCCTCTATCCTATCAGATCAAACAGGCATTGTTGAAGAACTCAGTCTTGAAATGCAAAAGATAATGCATGCAGAGCGTGTTTTTTCAATCTCTTTGATGTGTGAGTGATTTCAGAGGAAGGGATTAGGCTGGTATTGCCCGCGGATGCAGCACACTTCTCTCTGGACCAAGCATCTGAGTGAGACTTTGCAGGCTGCCTGGGGCTGGCATCTGATGCCGTTCCCACTGAGATCAATGGCACAGGCTCCCACCTTCCACTGCAGCTCCCAAGCGCCCAGAAGAGGCTGTGGGTCTGCAGCAGCCACGGGAATGCCCCAGATGGTTCAATTCTGCTCTACCATCATGGCTCAGCTCCTCCCATAGGGGCCAAGCCCACAGCCCAGCTCAGCTTCAGTCACCCCCAAGGCAGCAGTCACTGTAGCTCTCCCTTCCCTGAAAGCTGGGGGATGTTGGGATTCATGTTTTAGGCCAGATCTGTCTTTCAGGGGAGGAGGAGGACTTCATTCTCAATGCTGCAAAAGATTTCCAATAAAACCCCAATAAACAGGAGACCTGGGGTGGAGCTTACGCAAAGAAGCTCTTTGCCTCCTGCTGGTGTTCCTCCAACACCCGCTGCCTGAATCTTATTTTTTATCTACTATCTGCAACAGAGCAATTACGACCTGCAGCCAAGGTTCTTTGCTGCCCGAGGATGGAGCACAGCATTCCCTTGGGCTGTGCTGGAGGGACAGATGAACCCCATGTCACACCTCCACATCAGGACAGGGTGCTCCTAGCAGTCACCAGAAAAAGGGTCAGTAGCCAAAGCAGTTTGCAACCCTCTATCCTTCTGGAGAGGAGATGCCCCTGCTGTCACTGGCTTATCCCTGGTTCTGGGACTCCCAGCCAGAGTCTGCGGAAGGGCTTCGGCACAGAGGGGTCAGGTACTGCCCAGAGCTGGAGGCAGCACTGCTTGGTGGAGCAGCGGATGGGGGAAAGGGCTGCAGCACCTGGCGCTTCAGCTCTGTGCATTCAGGCACCAGGAGCTGTGCCTTGCCAAAAATCACACACCTGGCCAAAAAAAACCCATCACGTACCTGAAAAATCATGGCACTGAAACTCAATAAATCTGTGAGGCACTTTGGATAGGCTTAGTGGGCTTCGATTCTAAATCTGAGGTGTTTATATCCGACCTGGAAAGATTGAAAACATTTCATTTACTTTGAACTAACGCCGAGACTTTCCTACAATCAATCACTTGCTCCTGGAGGCACACAGAACACATGAGGTGTGAGGAGGACTGAATTCTCACCTGTGGCAGCACTTGGTGCTGTGCCCGCCAGAGCTCTCAGCACTGCTGATGGCTGAGGGGTAACAACACCCGTGTGTGAAGCTGGTTGCTGATGGGCACAGCTTGCAGCTCTCTCCTCCATTACACCGTGCCCTCAGTGACCTCCCGCCTTCCTATGGGTGGATGCCAGGTGCTGAGCCTGAGATTAACACCCTTCATTCTGCCTTGCCATCTACCTCAACACGGATGAGGAGTGCAGGGGCAGACCCACGGCACAGGGCAGACCCACGGCAGGTCATGGAGGCGTGCTCGTCTGCTCGTCACTTTCTCTAACAGCCCAGCACGGGGGGGACAGAGATTCCAGCCACTCGCTGAAACCAGCAGCCCCTGGGGAGTTCTTGCAGTGCTCTTTTGGCCCTTCTCACTCTCCTGGCAGGAGTGGGGATGCGCGGGCCCCCGGGCAGTGCTGCGTTCCCCAGCCACGCTGCAAGGAAGTGACGATCGAGGAGCAAATCTGCCTCTTTCCCTGACTTCTGCTGCTTATGTGACTTTAACAGGAGTGAAGGACACCTCTGGATGCAGCACACTCCCACCGGGCGCAAACGGAGGACGGGAGGCGAAATCTCCACAGCGCAGCCGCCTCTCAGCCGTGTTCCCGCCTTTCAGCCGTGTTCCCGCCCCTCAGCCATGTTCCCGCCCTCGGCCTGGCGGAGCGTGCGCATTGCAGAGCGGTGAGTGGGGGGGAGCGTGGTCTATGAGGGCCGTCCCGTGGGGTTCGGCTGTCCCGGGAGTGGATTCGTTCCGCTCCGAGGCCGCGAGGGCCGGCTCTGCGGTTCTGTAAAGGAGCGTGACGGATGGAGGTGGCCTCCCGGCCTGTCGTTCTGTGGAAGCAGCCGAAAAAAGGCCACGCAGAGCGCTGCGGGAGAGCTGGGTTGCGGCCGCAGCCCTCGTGCCCTCATGGCGGCGGGGTTCCGCTGTCCGAGCACACGGGCTCTGCTCAGGAGGTTTCGCACCGAGCACAGCGAGCTGCGGGGCTGCTTGCGGATCTGCACCCGTGTGGAAGTTACGCGGGCTGTTCGTGCGGGGCTCCTTGTGTGCGCACTGCTTGGGGCGCTGCCGCTCAGCTTCAGGCACGTGTGACGAGCTGTCATGGCTGGGCCTGCCTGGGAGCAGACAGTTATTTTAATCACCCAGCTGTGGTTAAGCTGAGTGCGAGGAGCGGGCGGTGCTCTGTCATCTGCCCCAGCACTGCTGCGGCCCTGCTGCTCGCTGTGGGTCCATCTCTGCTCTGGGGGTAATGTTAGCAAGGGCTAGGCTTTGTGCTTTCTCTTTCCTCAGCCTTTACGATGCCAGGCTGGCTTGTGTTCTGAGCCACCTGCAAGGCGATGCAGTGGTGGAAGCATCCTAAATATTGTCCCAGAGACCTCTGCCAAGCACTCTGTGGTAGGAGTGCAGCTGATGGAGGTAAGAACGGTGTCTGCAGGTTCCGTTTGCAGACTTGAAGGGACGCAAATATTTTCCTGTTAGATAAATTAGCTGGAAACAGGTGATTCCTGCTGAGTCATCAGCACTGCCCTTGGCCTACAGAGCGGTCCCCACGCCTTGGAGGAAGCTGGTTTGGTTCTGCCACTGCCATCTCCTTTCTCTCTGTTGAGAATTTATTTAGTATGAGCAACAAAACGCTTCACAAGCCTTCTGTGGCCCCTGAGCCCTTCCTTTCTCTGTTCTTACCTTGCAAGGACGTGGAGGACTGATAAAATACTGATGTGGTCAAGCTCTGCAGATGTGACTGAAACGTATCAACTCTACCTTGACAGTATGCAAGGCAGTGGGTTATTGCAATAAATTTGGAGATTAAAGTCAGCCCTTCTGTGTGCTGATCCTCTCCGCTACTGACTGTGGCTTTCATAACCCACCTCAGCTCTGTTACCGCTCAGGGTTTCCCCTCTGAGAAATAATATTTAACTTTCGCTACTGGAGTAGATGAATCAGCTTTAATTAAGATTTGTCGAGCACTTTGTTGATAAGCTCCCTATAAAGCTGGTTATTATTTATTATTAACACACAGATATTCTTGGCGCCTGAGATGTGTAATGCCACAACATGGGATCCTCTGGGAAACAGCCATGTGGAAAGAGACAGCGTGGGTTAAAGGCTTTGTCAAATCTTCTGGCTTTGGTTCGTGAGGCAGCGTGCTCCCAAACCTCTGATCCAAGAAAAAAAAAAAGTCTTTGAGTTACTGTGGAATCTTAAATGTTCCTTGCAGTTACGTTCCAATTCTGCAAACGACTTGTAGATCTTCCCCACTTGCTGGATTGCTGGCGGAGCCCTGGGTGAGGGCTGTGCTGAGTTGGTGCAGCTGTGTGTGTACTGTCAGCTGCAGGGGCACAGCTGCTCTGTGAAGTACCTTGACACAGGGAGCCATCAGATCCTTGCAGTGCTTTTGGTAGTGATTGCTGCTGATTCCTTTGGAGTGATAGGGAGCTGAGCTGAGCTAGTTGAGGACCCTGAAAGGCCGCAGCCTGTGGCACAGGTTGACTTGGTGACAAGGTGAGCTGGAGAGCTCCATTTATGAAAGGTAACAAAGGTATGAATTGGAATGGGTACGGCTGTGCTTGTGCTGTGTGCTGCTGTGCGGGTGCCCTTTCAGCAGTGTGAGCAGCTCTATTGTATTTTTGGGAAGAGAAGGCTGTTAATTTAGCTCTTAAATGTCACTGCTGTAGTGGTGTAGGAGTGGCCAGATGGAGGATGCTAAAATAAAATTTGGGGCTGGAAAAGCTGCCTTGTCTATACCCCTGTCTTGAGGCCAGCAAGAGATGCTCAGAGCGAGGCCCAGACCAGGTGTCACAGGGCACTGCTCGGTGCCCTGGTGGCTTCTACGTCCCCAGCTGTGTGTTCTGTGTCCTCGCAGTCAGGGTGAGCTGTGATGTGCTGCTGCTGCTGCCCGACTCTCCTTGGCAGCCTGCTCTGTGTCTTGCCTTCAGCAAACAGGGCGACCAAACTGATTGTTGCCCTTGTAAGCAGCTGTTGGTGCTGAGAGCTGATAACAAGTCTGGAGGGCAGCAGGACAGCTTCCTTCAGGCTGCACGTGTTGTGCCACTGACTGCTCCTGTTGTGGCCCAGCCCTGGTAGTTTGTGACTTTCTAAGGGTGATACCAACATGTAGTGTGGTCTTCCTGTTCTACTCTCCCATGTTTAGCTGCACTTAGTAATTCTATTTCTGATCTTAGAGAATTATGAATGTTAAACAATGAAATCTGAGACTGATTTCTAGCTCTTTGCACTTGGAGCTGTGGTGCCACAACATTGACACATTGCATTTTCAGTCTAGTCCCTGATTTTCTTTAGCTCTCTCTGTCTGGAGTTTTCCCTCATGCTGTATTTGTGTGTCTGATCTGTTTTTGCTGTTTTCAAGGGTAGTTCTTTGCTTTGTTTTTACTGCTTTTCTTTTTATTGATCTGTGGGTATTTTTGGAACTTTCCTCCAAGTTTATCAATTCCGATCATGACCTCTAGAGTGCTTCAAGCTCTTAACTGCTGGGCACCCTTTCAGCTTTTATAAAAGTACTTTCTCTTTCATTGTGCAGGCCATGAATGAGAAGGATGAATAGCATCAAGCCTGGACAAAACTCTGAGGGCCACTCCGTGACATTTTCTCCCCTTGAAACAAGGAATCACTGATAGCTACCCCTGGGGTGCGTGTGTGGGTGAGTCACTCTGTTGTCCTTCTCTGTTCAGTGCTCTGCCTCATGGAGGTGGGCTCACCTAGTCTGAATTCTTCTGAGTTCCCTAAGAGTGGTGGATGTGGGAAAAGGCTGCTGTAACTGCTGTGTGCTGGCTGGAGATGCGATGGGCTGTTCTGTAGAGCTGTAGTTGTGCCCTGTTTCTGAAGGTGCTGTGTTTTGCGAGTCGAACTTCTCAGTGGCACAAACCCAGCCTGTCCCAGAGCAATTCTCAGTTTCCCAGCCCAGCTCCTCTGCTGACAGCTACCAAGGAGCAGGTGCTCCTTCCTGGGGCCATGTGCAGTCTGTGTGCCTGGTGGCACCTCCTGCATGGCCGGTCTTATAGCGGCTCAGAGGGTGGGGATGGGAAGAAATGGCCAGCTCCTGAGATGAGCTTCCTTGGAGCAGCAGCACACAAAGTGAAGAAACCTCTCTGCTTTGGTTGCAGAGGGATGCACGTTGGGGAGTTTGCGTCTAAAGTGCACTGCTGTATTTTCTTTGTAAGTCTGTCCATAGTGAAAGTTAGGCTTGTCGGTATGTAAAATACATTTTTCCTCTCATGTAGTTGCAAGAAAGTTCCTCATGTGATTGCTCAACCCTGGAATAAAACTGGCTTGCTGTGGGTTAATTAATTATAATAGCTTTTTTATTCCTGAATGGTGTTTTCCTGTGGGAGCAGTTGCAGGATACCTCATTCCAGCAGAGCTTTGCTTGTCATCTCCTCAGTGTGAACTATGCTTAAGGAAGAGGTGTTGCTTTAACCAGTGAAATCCATTGAACTAGGGAGAACGTCACTGTCCAAGCAGGGCTGGCTCCAGATGGCTGAATTTGGTCAATAGTGAGCTGCTGTCTTCAGCTTTTTGAAGACTGGGAGGCTGATCCTCCTCAGAAATGCACTTCCATCCACTTACCATCTTTCTGTGCACATCTGTGTAGCTGGAGGTGAAACTTGGCCCCAGCAAATTGAAGGCCAGTTCCTCTGTGTTTCAGCTATCCTGCCGCTCAAGGCTTGGAGCCGGAGGTACCAGGCCGTCCTTGTTACCTCCCTCAGTGCTTCGAGGCCATCATCAGCATAACAGAGCTGTGCCCTGTTCTCCTTTACTGCTCCACAACTGATGTCAGTGCTCTGACCAAATTACAGTCCCAGGGTGGAAAATTCAGCTTCCCTACAGCATTCCTGCAATTTCTGCTGCAGTTTCCTTCACTTCTCTCAGGGAGGCTGTGCTGCAGCTGTGAAAAGGTTGTGTTCCACACTGGGTACAGCTAAATTTCAGTGGTTGATAAATGGTAACCTGAGTCCAGGTTGTAAAGCCCTCTGGGCTTCCTGTGATGCAAGAAGCTGTGTTTTGTCCTGAATGTGGGTTTGCTGATAATTCTGTGGGATTTTGAGTGGATAAGAGACCTGCTTATGCTGGTTCTCTGCACAGTCAGAATCTCTGCCAAATAATTCAAAGGCCTGCTGCAGAGGGGGAAGAGGAAGATGGGTGGGTGTTATAAAAACCTGTGGGTCACTGGAGTAAGTGGGAAGAAGGTGCATGCTTGTGTTGATCTGAAAGAGATGCCAAGCCAGGTGTATAGCTTTGTGTCCTTAAGGAAAAGCCTTGTGTTTTTTTTTTTAAGCAGCTGCCTATTTAAAACCAGAACAGTTGCTTTAATGGGAGTTTTTAAGGGTTTAACTGTTAATTTTAGATTTTTTTATTTCAAGCATGCTTTCACAAAATTAACTTTTTCACCATAGAACATTTTTATGTCTTCTATGTTGATGCTCATTTGCAAGAAATCTATGTGCAATTATTTCTTATGTACCACTTAAATCTATCAGCCAACAGATGTCAAGAGTAGCAAAAATGCTATAATAATATTATGGTCTAATAATAGTTATAATGATTCTAATTACCTGGCATGGCTTTGAGAGAGGCAGGCGTGGGAATTAGTGCAAATGAAATGTTTAAGGAGAAAATGGGCACTCTTCTGCAGATGTTTGGGCTGCACCCCCTCCTCCCTACCAGACACCCCACGCCTTTCCTCAAACAAATAAGAACAACACGGTCTGCTTTGAGTGTTAAAACTTTGTTTTCATTACAGTCAGAGGTGGAGAGCAGGGCTGGTGAGCAGTAGATGAGCAGGTTTCTTCAAATAGCTGTGGATGGGAAGCCCGGTCATTTTTAACCTTGTGCTGCAGTCTAGCCTTGCTTTCCTGCTGCCTGATGATTGCAGTGCACACAGATTGATCTCGCCTTGGGAAGGCTGGGGGAGGCTCAGCAGTCTTCATCTTTTACGCGAGCTGGTTGTGCTGCTTTTAAGTGTCAGGGAGGCTTTGACTCAGTCTGAGAAGCACAAAGCCAGACCCAGCTTGCCTTGGTGCTGCCATGCAGCTTTTGTGCTGCCTGCTGTTAGGAAAGGGGGGCTGGGAGGAGTGCAGGAGATTGTGCACCAGTGCTCACTCCCTGCTGATGAGGGAAGGGAAGGGGCACGGCTGCAGGTAGGGGACAGCCGTGTTGTTGGCAGGTTTGGCTGCTTTGCCAGCGACAGCTTGGGCCTGTGTGGGCCATAGCAGAGACTGTCCTCCATGCAGGAGGGATGCTCTGTGCACCAGTTCTTCTGTGCAACTCTGATTCACCTCCCCTGCTGTATGCTTCCTTTAGGAAGGATCCTGGACTGTTTCTTCATACACTTAGATGGTTTTTGCCCATCCTTGCTTTGTGCTGTGTGTCTTAGGAGCTCAATGCATAATGAATTGCTTCTTGCCACAGCTGCTTATTTTAATTTTGCAGTGATGCTGGAGAGGAGTGGGGAAGGATCCCACAGAGGAAGCCCAGGATAGGCTGGAAAGTTGACAGCTTTCATGGTTATATGGCAGGCTGAACTTTTTGCCTCTAAGACATTCAGCATGCTGATAAGTCAGCAGGACCACTGGGAATTCGACTGTTGGTTGTTGATCCCCAGCAGGAGCAGCAGCTGTGAATCTTCCGTCATCTTCCTGTAGAAGGACAGATCCAGATGTGCCCTCACAGGGTTTTCTTTTCTCTTTCTTATGGGCTGGCATGCTCTGCTTCTCACAAAAGTGAGCATCTCACACACTTGGCTCCTTCAGCCCACCTTTCTCACGGGCTGGCACTGGAGAGGGCTCTGCCACCCCCAGTCTTTTCTTGGGGAAGGTTTGCCTTCGTGCTGAGATTTGTACTGCCATCGGCTCCTTCTGTGTGTGAGCTGGTGCATTGCCATGGAGATGGGAGCTGCAGGGTGCAGCCTTTCCCAGACTTATGTGAAAGGATGCAGTCTCAGGCTACCCTTGTTTAAAGAAAATTATTTCTCAGAGTAAATAGTTTGTCTAAGAACAGTTGGCGTTGCCCCAGATGCTATTAAGGAAAAGACAAATCTCGGATCTCCTCAAGCCCGAGCTGTAAAGCTCATGCAATATTCACTTGCTGCTTTGCTTCTCTCAACATCAGACATTGCTCCTGTGACTGATGCTGACTCATTAACCTGTCTGTGCTTTCAGCCTAAGAAACCAAAGCTCCCTTTTTTTTTTTTCCCTCTATGTAAATGTTAGCACAGTATATCTTGTGCTGTCTGCCACAAGAGTGCTTTTCTACATCCCTTTTCTCAGTTTGTTGAGAGTTTGTATCTTCATTGGTCTGAATCCTCAGGCCTGGTTTCTGAAGGGCACATGGGGACACTGACCTCCTCTCTGCCATTCCTCCCACTCCCTCCTGGTGTGTTCTTCAGCACTGGCCAGTTTCAGGCCACCAAAGGAGCCCTCAGAGGTGCAGAGTTCTCCCATATTTGATGAAAAGGGGCATCCTTCTCTGGACAGGGGCTGTGTGGATTTGCCTCCTGTGGGCACCAGAAACCTGGGAGGAGGAGTGAGCAGGCCCCACGTGTCCTCCAGAGATGGGAAAGCACCGGCAGATGCCTGACTGCACTGCTAGGAAACAACAGCTGGCTGCTTGTGGCAGGGATGTAAGGGACCCTTTATTAAGCCTATGCACACGGTTTGATCTTCACAGCTGAGTTAAACATTCTCCAGTTGAGCTTCTATTGCTTTACCACTATTTTCATGCTTACTTGGCGCTCTGACGTCGTGATTATCAACCTGTGTGACACGAGCATGTGGGAAAACACCCTTCTTCCTTTTCCACTGCTGTTGCGGTTGCTCTCCTCCCTCCTCGGCTTCCTGCTCCTTGCAGTACTGCTGCTGGGTCTCTCCTGAATGCAAAAGAGCTCAGGCACCTCCGGGCTTGTCCAGCTGTGCCAGCACACGGCAAGTGCTGGATGAGCTTCTGCTGGCCTCCTGGGGGCTTGGGGATGCTGCCCTTTCTGCTCGCCTGGCGCTGGCATATGCTTGCTTTGCGTGGCTTCTGGTACGTGGAGAACCTTCCCAGCAAGGTCTGGAGGAGCCCTCTGGCACCTCTCTGCCTCATTGCCTCCACATCTCATTTCAGTTTTCATCTGTAAACATCTCTTTGCCCTTGCTAAACATCGTGTCTCAATTTCTCTCTGCAAGAGTATTATTTAATTTGTAAATGTTTTAGGACGCTACTTGAAAGATATGATATGAAGCTATATTTCATTTAGTGTAATGATCCACTAATGCAGGCATCTTTCAAAGGCAGGCTAAGCTGTACTGTGGGGTTTAATTAAATTTTATTTTTCAAGTAAGCATCAATAGCTAGGCAATAACAAATAGTGGACAGTACGCATACAACATGAATTCACTCCATTTTCATTCTGGAGGCTGTGGCAGTGGAAATGCGCAGCCCTTAAAATGCACTTGGCCAGCTTGCCATTTCTACTGTACTGTGGTTACTTCTGGGGGACTTTTTTCCAAGTAATTTGTCTCGTGTTTCTTGATCTCTTCCTGCCTGACCCTCTTACACTGTGTGCAATTTTCAGCAGCAGCCTCGAGTGAGTTAAATTCTTCTGGAAGCTCCGAGCTTAGAAAGTTTTGAATATGCTGCTGTTGCTTTAATGCTTGATGGCTT